GGCCTGTATACACAATGTTGCCGGTGCTTCGGTCGCGGACGCGCCTCCATACAGGTACGCCCTTCCCGGACTCAAAGAACGTTTTGTAGAGTTGGTTAATAAAACATATGTCCACTGCAGCCAGGGTCCACCTTGTTTTATCTACTGCAGAGCTTTGGATGAAAGGGAGAATAAGTGTATACCGTCAAGGATGAGGCTCATTGGTAGACAACCACCTGTCAAAATGAAATCATCTAGACAACAGTGATGATTGGACACGGTTATAAGGGGTTGGAAAGCTGGTCGGTCGCGCACAAGATTCAGCAGTGTGTTTTGATTAATTATTCTGAAGTTATGTCGCAGCAGGACAGACTTCATCCAGAGCGCATTTAGAAAAAATGACGTAAGATGGAAAGCTCTTTGGAACACGGACCTATCACGTGCATTACGATACATTCGAAAAGCCAGATCAATCGGAATATCTAGTAGGGGCTGCATTATTAAAAATCCTGCAGAATCGGCCCGAATAAATCAAAAATGCGGACGGTATGAATGCGATTCGTGGATATTTTTCGGTTGCCGGATATTTTGATAAACAGGAGAGTGGGGTGAGGTCCTTGAACACTTCACGTATATTGTTGTGATGACATTCAGTGTCTGTTGCATTGGAATTCCGCGAACGAAATTCCAAGTAGCCTGGGGAATAAAAATACAGTTTAGTCAGGTAAGATAAGTGAATGTTAAGACAAGTGAGCATTAGTACAAGGCAATGAGTTCTCAAAAGTATCTGAGGGGACCTTAGTACATGTCAAAAATTTCATTGTCAGTCAGAAACAAACAGGGGCTATGGTTCCAAGAAAAACGCATGATGATTAAAAGCCTGAGTGTATTGACATTGATAGTTGCACTGAGTGCGATTATATTTCTTTAATGTGACACCTAGAAATAATGAAGTAACTGTATAATATCCCTAAAATGGAGGAGGATCATGTTTCTATGTCTAACGAACATTTAGAGAAACACGATCCAGAAGACTTTCCTATGCCAAATTCCTTGTCTTCAAGAAGTTAGTTGGATGAAATGTGCCTAAAATGTATTTGCTGCGAAAGTATTTCAAAAATATAATGGCAGAGGGTATAGTTGGATAAGTGAAGTAAGTTGCCTTCCGAGACGATATAATGAAAAGAAAGAGGATCTTCGGAAAATCGAGTTGTATTCGTGAATCTTCGAACAGCTGCTGGCAAATGAGAACCTGTTCGTCGTAGTAGAAATGCCGGACCTTCGATTGAAAATTAGTGCTCAAAGTAATTCGTGTGCAAGTTATTTACTTTATGAAACCGAAGCTGCGGAATTATATATAATTAGGTCAACGATATGGGACCTTGGCAATATGCACTGCTGCCTTCTAAACCCTCATCTTTCCACCTTTGGAATAATGCATGTCGTCGGTTAAATGAAGTGTGGCTGCTTCCTCGATTTCCCCTATTAAGCTGGGGTGCTGAGGACGACGTTTCGAAA